CACCAACACTCACCACTCACACTCACCATGCACACTCACCACACTCACTCACCACTCACACTCCACACACTCAACGACACTCACCACAACACTCACCCCACCCACTCACCACACACACTCACCACCACACTCCACCACCACCACCCACACTCACCACACACTCACCACACACACTCACCACACACACTCACCACACCACCACACTCACCACCACACTCACCACTCACCACTCACACCACTCCACCACCACTCACCACCACACTCACCACACACACACCACTCACCACACCACTCACCACACACCACACACTCACCACCACACTCACCACACACTCACACCACACTCACCACACTCACACACACACTCACCACACCACTCACACACACTCACCACACACTCACCCACACTCACTCACACACTCACCACACACTCACCACACACCACACACTCACCACACACTCACCACACACTCACCACACACTCACCCACTCACCACACACTCACCACACCACCACCACACTCACCACCCACTCACCACCACACTCACCACACTCACCACACACTCACCACCACACTCACCACCACACTCACCACCCACCACTCACCACCCACACACTCACCACACACTCACCACCCGTACTCACCACCCGCACTCACCACCCACACTCACACCACACTCACCACACACTCACCACACACACATCACCACCCACACTCACCACACAATGGACTAGAGCCTGCCTAGCCACGTGTGCGTGTGAAGAGTTAGGATAGAGATAAGAACAAGTTATAATGTAATAATGTGTACATATACATCTAGACCATTGTTTGTTTATCGATTGTTGTTGCTAATAAATAAGCGGACTCAACAGAACGTTGCAATTGTGTTTGTTGTGGCGAGTTGCTTCTGTCTGGGGTCTCAGGTGACTTGGGTCCAGATGTTGACTACCTCGCCTGGTACACAGGAGGTCGTGGGTTAAATTCTGACCCTGGTGAGATGTTAACAACCTCGACTGGTACGCAGGAGGTCGTGGGTTCGATCCCGACTCTGATGAGATGTTAACTACCTCGACTGGTACGCAGGAGGTCGTGGGTTCGATCCCGACCCTGGTGAGATGTTAACAACCTCGACTGGTATGCAGGAGGTCGTGGGTTCGATCCCGACCCTGATGAGATGTTAACTACCTCGCTTGGTATACAGTGAGGGAAAAAAGTATTTGATCCCCTGCTGATTTTGTACGTTTGCCCACTGACAAAGAAATGATCAGTCTATAATTTAAATGGTAGGTTAATTTGAACAGTGAGAGACAGAATAACAACAAAATTCAGAAAAACGCATGTCAAAAGTGTTATAAATTGATTTGCATTTTAATGAGGCAAATAAGTATTTGACCCCCTCTCAATCAGAAAGATTTCTGGCTCCCAGGTGTCTTTTATACAGGTAACGAGCTGAGATTAGGAGCACACTCTTAAAGGGAGTGCTCCTAATCTCAGCTTGTTACCTGTGTTGAGTAGTTCCGATGGACGTTCTCGGAGACGGAGGATAAGTTAGGGGTTTCCGCCAGGGTTTATTAACACTTATCAATACTACACAGCAGGGTACACAACTCCCAGGGGCTAGGGGGGTCCTACTCTGAGTCCGGGTCCCTGCCGGCTAGCTCCGGTCTCTCTCTCTCGTGTCGGATCGTGGAGTCTGCCGATTCCACCGACCGGAGAGAGAAGCACCTCTACGGCTACCACCGGCTTACTCCCCAGACTCCCTATTCGATCCCTCTCACTATCCCTGGTTCCCTCTTCACCCTGTTTACTATCCCCGTTCCTATAGTGACCCCGCTTACGTCACGGGGTATCCCTTAAATACCCTAGGAGGCGTGACGTCACGTGCACTGCCCAGCGCGTGCGACCCCACGTCCCGTGATGTCATCGCACCGGACAGCGCACACGACGCCACCACTCTCCTCTACTCCTCTACCCCCCCCCCCCCCCGTGAAAAAAAAACAGCCGACCCGGCTGCAATCACCCCAAGCGGGGCCCCACACCGGACCGAAGACCGAACAATCACGAGTTCGTGTGCCTGAAGGTAAAACCGGCTGCTAGAAAACTCAACCTTAGGCAGCACGGCCCCTCAAGCAGAACAGCAACAACAACCACAACAACAAAAAAACCAAAAAAATAGAGTCCAAAGGCCTCATCCGCCGGATAGCGCCGAACGGGCGCCAGGGGCTAGGCCCGCTGAACGGCCATCAGGGCCTTCACCGGAGCCGCATCCCCCTCGAGCGGGTATGCGCTGCTGGCCCGCTCCCCCGTGCGGTGTCCGCCACCCGTGCAGGTGGCCCGTCGGCAGGCAACAGGCCCACCGCCGTGGCCTCCGGTGACCGGGGGGTCTCTGTCGGCCTCACTCGGGAGGGGCCTGGGGGCGCACACACAGGTCGGACGTCACCTCCGTCAACGAGACCCGGCCGGTCAGGCACGCCGGATACATCATCAGCCGGCCGCTCCGGAATTGGGGGTGGATCCCCCAGGGTAGATGGAACGTAACGTTTGAGCCGGGACGGGTGCACTATCCACTGCCGGCGACCGAACCGAATCCGGACGCATTGCGGCCAGCGGACCTCCACAACCTCCAACTGGGCCGCGGCGTCCCCTGGGGCCTTGCAACGGCTAGAGCCCAGGGCGCAAGCACACCCGCCGCCTGCCGGCAATCGGGATAAACCGTCCGCATTTCCATGCTGTGTCCCCTTCCTGTGGATTACATCAAAGGGGTAATCCTGGAGCACTTCGAGCCAGCGAGACAGCTGACCCGAGGGCTGACTAATCTTCAGCGAATATTGCAGGGCCGCGTGGTCGGTTCGGACCGTAAACAGCCTACCGTACAAATATGGTCTATACAACTGAACAAAATAAACTATGGCCAAAAGCTCCCTCCGGGTCACACAATATCGCTGTTCCGTCGGGGACAGAACGCGACTGCCATAGGCTACCACCCTCTCAACCCCGTCGACCACCTGGGCCAGGACAGTCCCAATTCCCGTGTCGCTGGCATCGGTATCGAGCAGGAAGGGTTTCGAAAAATCCGGGTACCCCAAGGGCGGCGCATCCGCCAAGGCCGTGCGAAGCGCCGCAAAAGCCGCCTCCTCCTCCGTGCCCCAGTGAAACCTTTGGCCTTTGGCGGAAAGGGCGTGCAGTGGCTTCGCAATTGTCGCAAAATCACGGACAAACCGGCGATAGTACGATGCGAAGCCAACGAAGCTACGCACCTCCGCGACAGATGTGGGAGTCGGCCACGTCCGGACACAAGCCGTTTTATCCGGGTCCGTGGCGACACCTGACGTGCTAACAATGTGTCCCAAATACTTCACCGATGGTTGTAGCAAGTGGCATTTCTGGGGTTTGAATTTCAAGCCAGCAGCACGCACTTTGACGAACACCGCCTCAAGGCGTTGCAAGTGCTCGCCAAATGTACGGCCAAAAACAATAACGTCATCCAAGTAGATTAGACAAGACTCCCACTGCAGCCCCGCCAAGACCATCTTCATGAGACGCTGGAAGGTGGCCGGGGCCGAATGGAGACCCATAGGAAGCCGATTGAACTCGAACAACCCCTGGGGCGTGCGGAACGCTGTCTTGGGTCTAGAGGCCTCATCCAGTGGAAATTGCCAGAAGCCGGAGAGCAAATCTAAAGTCGAAAAGAACCACGCGCCCGAGAGGGCGTCCAGGGAATCATCCATGTGAGGCAATGGATATGCATCGGCCACCGAGATCTTGTTCAATCTACAGAAATCGACGCAGAACCGGAGACTCCCGTCCCGTTTCTTGACTAGCACAATGGGGGAACCCCAAGGGCTAGTAGATGGGGAGATGATGTCCGCCGCCAACATTTCGTCGACAGCCGAGCGGACATGATATTTTTCCGCTGGGCTAAAGCGGTGGGAATTAAGTCGAATAGGGGCCACGTCGCCCGTGTCTATGTGGTGGTCCAAAAGAGTAGTGCGACCCAGATCAAACTTACTTTGGCTGAACACATCGGTGAACCGCTCGATGAGGTCGCGGAGTTGCCGACGTTCCCCGCGGGCCACGCCGAAGACGCGGAAAGGTGCGGTGGTGCTGCGGCCCCCATGGGCCACGCCGTAGGCGCAGCGAAGTGTGGCAGGGTTGCGGCCCCCATGGGCCACGCCGTAGAAGCAGCGAAGTGCAGCTGAGTTGCAGCCCCCATGGGCCACGCCGTAGACGCAGCGAAGTGCGGCTGAGTTGCGGCCCCCATGGGCCACGCCGTAGACGCAGCGAGGTGTGAAGGCGCCTGCGCTTTCGCGACCCACCGCAGGCACGGTGAGGTGCGTGGCCGCGGAAGCCTCCCGCGACGCGGCGAGGGACCACGGCGTTGCAGCCTCAACGGGCCACGCCGAAGACGCGGCGGTATAATTGGGGCCTGCAGCGGCCCCGCGGCCCACCCCGCCGGCGCAGCGAGGTGCGGGACAGCGGCCGTAGCCGCGGCAACCTCCCGCGACGCGGCGAGGGGCGGCGGCATTGCGGCCTCCCCGGGCCACGCCGAAGACGCGGCGGTATAACACGGAGCCGCGGCAACATCCACGACAAGGGACGCAGGCACGGCGAGGTGCAGAGCCGCGGCATCGCCGGTGGCCGGCCCGTGAGCGCGGAGACAGGCGGAGCCGCGGCAGCACCCGCGGCCCATTCCGGCGGCACGGCGATGTACGGGGCACCGGCAGTCGCCGCTGCCCACCCCGGCGGCCCGGCGAGGACGGCACGCGCGTACTTACCCGGGGCCCCCCCGGCGGGCGCAGCTTGATGTGGAGCCGCGTCGTCGCCGGCGGCTGGTCCCGCAGGAGCGGCGTGCCGAGAAACCCCGGCCGCGTCGGTGGAGAGACGCGGCGTCGGGGTCGCCATGGCAGCCATGGCGCCGACTTGCGGCGTCGCAGCAACAATGTCCGCCGGCCGCCGCGTCGCAGCCGTAGCAGCGGCCGCATACGGCTCCCGAGCCAACATGGCCGCCGCGGACTGCGTCGCAGCCAACATGGCGGCCATTTCCGGTGGAGCGACCGCTAGGAAAACGGCGGCGGTTTCAACGATGGCGGTTGACGGTTGCTCCCGTCCCGAGTGCGGGCTGGTTTGCTGCGTCCGCGCCTCCACCTCGGCCAACCTGACGGTCAGCTGCCCCACCGCCTGCAGGACCTGCTGCAGCAGAGCTGCGGGGACGCTCTCCGTCTCTGGCGGCGGCGGTGAGCTGGCACTCCCAGCAGCCGACTCCTCCCGCTCTCAGCTTGTTACCTGTATAAAAGACACTTGTTCACAGAAGCAATAAATCAATCAGATTCCAAACTCTCCACCATGGCCAAGACCAAAGAGCTCTCCAAGGATGTCAGGGACAAGATTGTAGACCTACACAAGGCTGGAATGGGCTACAAGACCATCGCCAAGTAGCTTGGTGAGAACGTGACAACAGTTGGTGCGATTATTCGCAAATGGAAGAAACACAAAAGAACTGTAAATCTCCCTCGGCCTGGGGCTCCATGCAAGATCTCACCTCGTGGAGTTGCAATGATCATGAGAACGGTGAGGAATCAGCCCAGAACTACACAGGAGGATCTTGTCAATGATCTCAAGGTAGCTGGGACCATAGTCACCAAGAAAATAGCTGGTAACACACTACGCCGTGAAGGACTGAAATCCTGCAGCGCCCGCAAGGTCCCCCTGCTCAAGAAAGCACATATACATGCCCGTCTGAAGTTTGCCAATGAACATCTGAATGATTCGGGCATGTATATGTGCAAGGAGCAGCTCCACTACCGCTACGAGGTGCAGAAGCTGATCGGCGAGGAAGGCCAGGGCCTGGTGCTGCAGTGCCTCGACCACAAAACCAAAACGCACGTGGCCGTCAAGATGCTGTCGCTGCCCTTGTGGTGAGTCCGCGGTGGCTCGCGCTCTCGGAAATAATCATCAAACGATTGGAGGCACCGCCGTGGACACTGCCACTAACTATGGACTCACTGACAAAATGCTAACTGCCGTAAAACTTCTGCTAACTATAAATTAACAAAATACGGACATAAACCTGCTGCTAAATATGAACTAACAAAATACTAACTGCCATAAAACTGCTGCACACTACAAACTAACAAAATCTTACTGCCATAAAACTGCTGCTAACTATAAACTAACAAAATCTATACTGCCATAAAACTGCTGCTCACTACAAACTAACAAAATCTTACTGCCATAAAACTGCTGCTCACTACAAACTAACAAAATCTTACTGCCATAAAACTGCTGCTAACTATAAACTAACAAAATACTAACTGCCATAAAACTGCTGCTCACTACAAACTAACAAAATCTTACTGCCATAAAACTGCTGCTAACTATAAACTAACAGAATACTAACTGCCATAACACTACTGTTAAATATGAATTAACTAAAAAAATACTAACTGCCATAAAACTGCTAACTATGAACTAACAAATGTATAACTGCCGTAGAACTTACTGCTAACTATGAACTCACGAAATAATAACCTGCCGTAAGACTACTGCTATGAACAAAAGTTTACTAACAAAATAATAACTGCCGTACAACTATTGCCAAGTATAAACTAAAAACTAGCAGACCCATAGAGACCCACAGAGACCAATAGAGACCCACAGAGACACCCAGACCCTTAGAGACCCACAGAGACACCCACAGAGACACCCAGACCCTTAGAGACCCACAAAGACACCCACAGAGATACCCAGACCCTTAGAGACCCACAAAGACACCCAAACCCTTAGAGACACAAGAGACACCCAGACCCTTAAGAAACCCATGGAGGCATCCAGACCCTTAGAGACCCAGAGAGGCCCACAGAAACACCCAGACCCAGAGACCCAGAGTAACCAACAGAGACACCCACAGAGACACCCACAGAGACACCCACAGAGACACACACAGAGTCACCCACACAGAGTCACCGTCGATTTCGTGGCCTTCCCTCTCCCGCTGTTCAGCTTCTCGACAGCGTCCCGCCAGATGACGGAGCTGGAGGTGGCCAAGGAGCTGCGGGGCAAGGCCAGCGATGATCGCTACGGAGTCATCCGGCTCCTGGACACGTTTAAATTCCGCGGACACAATTGCCTTGTCTTCGAGTTCTTGAAGTACGCGAACCCCCCCCCCCACCCAAGCAACTAGATTTATCGATTCATCACATTTATTAATTGTGTTTTACAGCAGGGCTTTCGCGACCAATATAGAGGTATTTTTAGGTTAGATTACGTAAATATATAAATGTTGTGTCGATAAACCCGCCACCATCCGACACAGCCAACTAGTAAGGGTTGTCACGCAAACAGAACGTACCAATTCGTTATTAGTACAGTACTAGTGTGTAGTGTATAGTGTAGTGTATAGTATAGTGTGTAGTGTGCAGTGTAGTGTAGTAGTGTATAGTGTAGTGTATCGTGTAGTATAATGGTACAGCACAACGTTGTGTTCGAGAGCCAAGCCACAACATTTACAATCTCTGAGTACGGCGTTTCGCCAGTAATTACAACCAGCTTCATCAGCGACAGCCAGATTTTGTGGAGAATTTCACCTGTTTCGTTCCTTATATAGAGGCACAGATGTGGTGACCACACTTCTGTGCTCTTGCGCAAAGTGTGGGGGGGGGGGGATGATTCATTTTCTAATTTGTTTCCCAATAGCTTTATTTAATAACTTTCAAAATTAACTTATTTTGCAGTTTATTTAATGAGTTTAAAGATAGTTAACAATTCATCAAAAGATGTCTCGCCTCGTTAAATCAATTAATATAGGTTTTTACCCTTTTTCTGGTACAAAACCGACACCTTTATTCAAGGCATCATGTTTGCAATGACCACAACACAAGTAGTAGGGTAAAAACCTACTATTATATTTTGCCACTGGTAAAAGAGATCTCATAGTGTAAATGCTTACCCCGAGCTCTCAATACTCTGATATTGCACTGTGTTTGAGTTGTACGCCTTCTGGTGTCATCTGGTCCAACACCAATGGGGACTAGGCTCTAAAGAAAGCCGTCTCGGGTGTGGACCAATCAACTTCAAGGACAGTGCATATTATTATCATTATCAGAGTTGCTTCTTTTTGTTTGCTTTTTTGACTACTTGTGTTGTGGTCATTGCAAACATGACGCCTTGAATAAAGGTGTCAGTTTTGTACCAGTTAAAAGGGTAAAAACCTACTATTAAATCAATCAATTTAAATGTTTTGTGCGCGTTAGTTCCCTCGGCGCAATTAGTGCAGCGCGGCAAGGCCGCGGATGAACACGGCGGAGCGACGAGGCGTTTCACGACCCCCCCCCCCCCCAAACTAACCAAGTGGCACAGTCGGTTTGGGGTCTGGGTCGTGGGTCGCCCTGCGGACGTCATCTGAACGGGAAAGGGGTTTAAACGTCGTCGTCGTTGTCGTCCAACACCATGTGAGACTAGGCTCTAAGGAAAGCTGTCTCGGGTGTGGACCAATCAACTTCAAGGACAGTGCATATATTATCAGAGTTATGTTATTTGTTTGCATTATGGCTGCAGGTATTGTGGTCTATGTAAACATGACTCCTTGTAAAAAAAAAAAAGTTGTCAGTTTTGTTGCCAGATAGAAGGGTAAAAAACCAATTATCGTCGTCGTTGTCTTCGTTGTCGTCACAGGAAGAGCCTCAACGACGTGATGAGTAAAGGCAGCGTCGGGCGAATCTGCGTGATGCGGTTGAGGAAGTACACCAGGGCCATCCTCCACTTCCTGCTGTACGCCAAGCGACGGGGCATCGTCCACGGGGACATCAAGCCGGTGAGCGGAGCGGGGGCGGTGATCGCGCCCTCTCACCTGAGGACGGCTGCTTGCGTTGTAGGCCGAAACGTCGTGAGAATTATTTAATGTTTTATTTTTATTATTTTATTACTTCCCTTCTACGTGGTGACTTTACCGAAAGAACCAAGAAGATGAATCCCTGCAGTCACGAAAGCTTTAAATAGTCCAAGTAGCTTTTTTACCCCCCTGCATGCCTCTATCTCTACCTCTCGCTGCCCGTGTGGGTGTCAATGCGTCACTTTGCGTGATAGACCCGCTGCCGGCTGGACAATCTTGCCGTAACCTCACAGCGTGGAACTCCTTCTCTGTCCCTCCCCTTTGTCCAGGACAACATTCTGCTCACCGCGGCCGGCAAAGTGAGGGTCACCGACTTCGGGTGCAGCTTCTACCTGAAGCATGAAGGTGAGTGGCTTTGCGAGCGTGGAGTTTTTTTTTTTCAGGGTTAACTCGCGTCAATGTCAACGTTGCGTCGTCAAACCCGCCACCACCCGACGCAGCCACTCGGTGAGGTTCAGCATCACGCCACTTGCACAGCACTAACCGGTGTGTGCTGGAGATGTAAACCCACTACGACGTTTACAATTCGAGCGCTTACAGCCGAGCGTCATCATCAGGCGGGCAGCCAGAGTACGCGGTCCAACCCAAAAACTCACCTTCGCCGTGACATATCGGTCGCAGAAGCCGACTACGCGTTTAACCGACCGAAAATAAACCTGTTCAACCCACGTCGCTGTTGACGGAGGGACTACTTCATATCAGAGGTCGCAATCGGGTACCCGATACCCGTACCCTACCCGATACCCGGCCGGGTACGGGTACCCGTTTGCGACCCTGGTGCGGCCAGGTACGGGTAAGGAATCAAAACCTGTTTGCGACCTCTGCTTCATATTCGTCGTCATTGTTGTTGTCGTTGTTGTTGCTGTGCAGCCCAAACCGTGGGCGGGACGTTGCCCTACGTGGCCCCGGAGCTGCTGCTGGGCTACCAGGTCACCTGCGCTGTGGACATGTGGGCGCTGGGCTGCACCGTGGCCGAGATGGCCACCGGCAAGGATCTCTTTGATTCACGGACCTACGAAGAGCACCTGCCATGCTGCATCGAGGTACGGGCTGTGGGTGGGTACGGTGGGTATAGTGGGTGGGTGGGTATGGTGGGTGGGTATGGTGGGTGGG